ACGATCTGATGATGGACTTCTTGGAGAATGAATCCCCGTACGTTGGCTTTGTGGTGCAATTAGTACTGGATTACTGGCAGTGATCTTACGTATCTGTGCTTTGTAGGCCACAAGAAGATTGCTACAAATTGTCCAAATGGCAGGGCAATGCGATCGCTGGAGTTGACTGTGGCCAGGATGGTCACGTGGTTTTCTATCCTACAGGGCACGTACTGCAGCAAGCGTGTGCATGGTACAGCAGAGGCGAATTAGAGGACGACCCACCGTGCTCAAGCACTGTGATTGAGACTGGCTCTCCTATTCGACAATTTATAGTGATGGGAAGCAGAGATGCATACCATTCGACGAGTACGGCAAAGATACTTGCGGCTGCACGTGGCCACACGCACTGCACAATTATCGCTGCTCCGTCTCGTGTTACACGTGACAACGTTTGGAAGATACAAGCCAAAGTTAAGCTCTCTTTGCCGGGGGTTATCAAGCATATAACTGGAAGTCCACATGCAGAAGCGGAGTTGGCCGTGGTTACGGTCGATGGTACGGTTCGACGCTGGGATCCAGAGGGAGGGGTTCAAACTGTCAAAAAAGACTTGTATGTGTCGGACCGCGTTCTACGCTGCGAATACTCCAGGTATATACAAATGAACTGCTATCTTTTTGAGGGTGTCACTAATGGAGCTGTGCCATTGTGTTGTAGTCACCCGTGCGTTCTTTGGGCAGCAAATCGAACTGCACTGTCAGTTTTAGATCTTCGACAGCCAGCCCAACACGCGACCAAGCTGTTTGATGTGGCAGGTGCAGGCACCTTCATTTCCATTTATGACGTGAAGCGTAGAACAAGGCAAGGACTAAAAAGGTGCCCTACGCATGCTTCAAACTCTTGACTTATTATGCTTGTGTCTTCAATATTCCAGCAACCCGTTCCAGTTTGTTGTTGGCACGGGCGTCTCCATTGAACTTCTCGATAGTCGAATGGCAAGGCAACCTCTAATGTCATGGACCCAACCGCAGAGCTATTCTGGCAAACAAGAGTTCTCGTTTGGAGCGATTGACGAAGTGGATTTGTCAAGTAGCTCCAACGATTCACGAGGTAGGCGAGCTCTTCATGAATCTAAGCCAAGCTCACGTGCTAATTTACTGCGTTACGTGCGAAGGATACATCGTATCAAGCTTG